CTCTCTCTCTCTCTCTCTCTCTCTCTCTCTCTCTCTCTCTCTCTCTCTCTCTCTCTCTCTCTCAGGAACTAACCACATTAACAGATAGAGCATGTGAAGGTTAATACATTATAAGACCTCTGCGTACCCAGGAGAATACTAATTTGCCAACAGACAAAGCTCAATTAGCTTTTGTTTTCTGAGCTCTTTATCGTCTTTTCTCATTTGATTAACTTTATTTTATGATTTGGGTAATAAATATTATATATATAGTAATTCACTCCTAATCTTCAACCTGCATAATTTCCATCATGCCCATTTCGTTGAAAATTGAGACAAATCTGTGGTGGAAAGTGATAAGAAATAGTTCTCATTTTGATGAATCGAAAATAGATCATTTAGTTTCACATGTCCAGTTATGTTGAGCCTAAGGTGATAAGGGACCCAGAGCATGGATATTGTAGAACTGGGTAGAGTTATGCAGAGCCAGGGCCTCTGATTGCAGTAGTTTGGCCCCAGATGTGACATTGTGATGTAGTCTCATCAACAGCAATCTTATTATGATGGATGTAATGTTCCATATGGCACTGTATTTGATGCTGTAATGGATGGCCATAGAACATGGCCTAAGAGGGAGGGGGGAGGGAGAAGAAAAATGGATGTCATGGGAAAATATCTGTTATAATATTTTATTAAACCAAAAAAATTAACTGTTTTTTAGAATGTTTTGTCAAACAAGGATGAAAAATTGATGTCATGGGAAAATATCTTTTATATTTTTCTTTAAACCAAAAAAAAAAATTAACTGTTTATTACTTAGGACATTTACAGATGTGCTGATAGAAATGAAGTTGGGGAAATATTGAGCTGCCACTATTTCCCAGAGTCAATTTCGGAAGAAACAACTCATTAAAAAATAGATATGAATATTCTCCATGTGTTTGGGAAGATCCATAAGTCATGCTTTACCCTCCCCAGTGAGATAGCCTTCTCTCAGATGACATTTTGCTCAGTTTTATCGAAGATAATCCAATCACGTAGCCTTCTGTCATTCCCCGTGGAAATAAAAGTCTTTGTGCTCAAATAGAGAGCTGCACATTAGAGCACCTTATGTAATGTCTCTCTGTGAAGACGGCAGGGACACAAAGACTGCTACTGCTGGTGGTAAATATAGCGGTTCTTTGTACTCAGGTTTTATAAGTTTATTGTTAAGTAATTGAACATTTTTGCTGTTTCTTGGGTTTGACCTTCATGGGTTTAGGAGTGGATCATACGCGCGAGTTTCTGTAAGTTTTGTTTAGATGGTACACATTTTATTTTGTTTATTAGTTGCTCACTTTATCAATTTAGAATAAGTTTTCCATAATCAGATTGCACTGTTTCTATTATTTCTTCATATATATATACCAGGGACCAGCCTCAAAAATGTATTTTAGAGAGAAAATTGGCCTAAAATTTTGGATAAAAGATTCAGTCTGTTTATATCAAGATAATTCCATTGTTTAACACTTTATTAAAACAAGTTTTGGTCTGAAACATTAGCCATGTCTTATGTTGTGCACAATATTTCATTTAGTTAGACTGGTTAATTTTGGGTCAACAAGACAAGCAATTTGGTCTGAAAGTTTAAACCATTTTTGGGGGTTTTAAACCCTTTTTGCAAATCAGGCTTTTCTACCTGTGTATAAACGCCATTCAAAAAACTTGTCCTTAATTGTCCTTAAAGGCAAGCCAGCCAACTAATTGGACTGGTAGCTCCACTAATAGTAGAAGATAGGACAACAATAGGGCTAATGGATGACCCCAGATAACAATACCAACTAATATGATTGCAGACAATACAAGTGACTGGGGGAGACTAATGTTAGGTTAGGGGGAGACGTTAAGGACAGGTGACAACAATAGACTGGCATGTTTGTCTTATGTTACCTCTAAAATGAAATTACATGGACTGTAAAATTAACAGAGACTTGGGCTGCAATAGAGGGGAAGCTACCAGTAGTATCTGCAGGACTGGGACACAATGAAATTGTATATATATATATTTTTTTTTTTCATTCGGTCATTGAACTTTTTATTGAGCAGTGGTATATGTATATATAAATATATATGTGCATGAACAAGTAGTTGAGCTATCAATTGATGCCAGCCAGTCATTTATTTTATCTTAAAAGCTGAGCTAGGTCTGAAAAGTCTTTTCGATGGCAACATTTAAAGAACAAACCATGTATCTAAGGAATGAACTGGCTTGTGTTTTTGTAGGAGAGGCTCCACCAGATTGACAAGCAGCAGAGGGATATGCTGAAACAAGTCAAAGTGGACATAGAAGGTTTGGAGACAGAACGACAGAAACTGGTGGAAGAGTTTAGAAAGGTATGTCAACTCTGTAGTGAGCAGATTCAAGGGGGGGGGGGGGGGAGGCTAGCTACTGAAAATGTGGATCTTTTGCCCCCTTGGATGACAAAGGCCTAGATCATAACTTGATTCAGAGTAGACCTTTCTTTAGAGCTGTCGGCCAGTATTGAGAGAAAGGCAGCTGATTCTTGTATATTTTTGTTAATGATTCAAAAAATGTTTTTTGTTCATGTACATTTGGAAAATAACTGGGTATTTTGGTAAGTAGAGAAAGAAAAAAATATCATGTTTATCAGTTGAGAAAGGGTATCATGCAGCATTTTTTAATGACAAAATTTCAAACTAAAATTTGATTACTAGTAGATACATAAGTGGACAAAAAAAAATGCCTTTCAAGGTTTAGAATATTTTTCCATTTTAAAATGGTTTGATGTTTAATGCTAACAACTTCTCTGCAAGGAAACAGTTAAGATGGGATGATTGTTTAATGCTTATACTTGATCAAACAGTGAGCTTGAAATGGGTTTGCCCTGTTCGAGTTTTATCACAATGTCGTTACATTTTCCCATTGTTATTTGAAGGAGAAGGCCACACTCTCGACCATTGACAGAAAGATCCGAGAGCTGTCCCGTAACAACTCCACGTCTCCGCCTGGAGATACCAGCTCAGCAAGTGCCAAATCTTCAGACACAGAATATGAGGTAAACTCCTGATGCTTTTCTTCACAAGATTTTTACCTCTAATTGCTGTTAATTCCTGAAGCTTTTTAATGCTTTAATCCTGTTTTTCTTGTTTTACTTTATTTTTTGCCACTTTGCTATAAATACACAAGTATGCACACTCACACACTCACATGCACACGCGCACACACACACACACACACACACACACACACACACACACACACACTGTAGCAACAGACCTAAGTTTCTCACAGATGAATAAGTGGCTTTTAAAGTAGAGGGGTTCCCTGTCACTAACACCAATAACATAAGAGATATAGTATTCACTGTTTACCTGTGCTGTTGTATAGGTGAAAGTCTGGCGAATTGTTCACACTTACATTAAGGAGTCATTCTGTTTTGATTGGAGAACATTGGCTATACATTCTTTGTGTATGAGCTGTATCAGGACCCGGGGAGATAGGGTTACGTCTGCATTCCTGACCGCAAATCAGAAACAGTGCCACAAAGGGGAGAGTTGACACTGTATTGAAAGTGCCTGAGTCATGTTTTATTTTGATTAATAAATCAAACCAGGTTCATGGGTAGATTGTAGACTTTATAACTCCGAGGTCAGATCTGTCTGTGTCACTTTTTGATCTTTATGGAAATGATTAAGTGTCTGAAGTCTGGTGATGGATTAGATTTGTTTTACGCACTTCTGTAAAAGACTTACAAAAAGGTAAAAGAGTCATTGAAAGGGACATGCCATTTAACTGACTGCCATGGTAAGAAAGAGAATTCTAATAACTGAAGACTTAAATATTTTAATATTCGTTGACCTAGTTTTGTGGTGGTGGTTTTTTAGTGAAACAGGACATTTACACATGGTGAGCAAAAAGATGGTCTCAGTCCTAAAATGGTGACAGTCTGGCAATGTAAAATGTGTTTCAAGTTGAAATATATGAAAGTATGTTATGTAGTCTACAAACAAGTTTTTGGTTGAACATTGTGAAATCTATTCAGTTTGTACTGTTTAGATGATGACTCTTGTTAAGAAATATATTTTCAGTAAAAGATTTCTGTTAAATGTATGCAATGCTTATAATTGTTTCTAGTTAATATTCAACTAATGTCGCATTGTTTCAGATGAAAGTGAATGAGGAGTTCTTCAGACGACTTCAAGAGGAGGAACTAAAGACGCCCACCAACGAGATGACCATGGAGCTAAGTGACAAGTTGGCAAAGACATATCTCAGTGACGACAAAGGTAAACTAATAAATTGACAGGAAATATCTGAGGTGTTTGCTGATGTCGAGATTATTCCCTTGTTCAACAGCGCCTTTGGCACAAAGGTGTGAAAGGAAGGGATTGCTTGATAAAACTTTGAGGTGAAAAGTGGAAATGTCAACTGCATTATATAATTAGTAATGATAATTTTAGGAGCGTAATAATGTTATCAAAAATTATTTTACTAATAAAAGGCAAGTGTTAATTCACAGTGTTGTTTAATAAGTGCAGGAAATTGGATTAATTGGATTGGTGGTCAGATTTGTCACCATGTAAGATCCTTCTAAACAGTATATTATATATTGTGCAAACATTGTGAAGCATGTCATGCCACAAACAAGTTGATAATTCAAGGAAATGAACAGCCAGGTAATAAATACCTCACTTTAGGGGCCAAATTCATAGAAGATCAGAAAAAATACCTGGAGGATTTGAAACGGAGAGCGACCCAGGAGGGTCATGTACAGTGGGCAGAGATGCACCAGAGAGAGGCCAAGGCACGGAGTTATGGGTCAGTGGAGTCCGAGGAAGGCAGCGTGGACAGTGGAAGCACACCCTCAGACAAGGCCACCAGGTAAGAGTGACGTCGTGAAAAGATGCAGAGTGTGTGTGCATGCATGTTTAAGGGCATGTGTATGTAATTTAGTGTAGACAGAAGAAACAAGGCTGCCAGGACAGGTAGGAAGGTGGTGGTATATAAAAAACGTCCTATAAGGATGGAACCTGTGAAGATCGGTGGGGATGTGAAGATACATATGTTGTGCTGAAGTTTATGAGTGGTTAATGCTTGTTGAATCTGCTTTGTTTTGTATAATATTCCCCAACAAGACAAAGAAATGGGGAAATATGATGTAAACTGATACACTGTTCACAATTTAGAACTTGCACAAATAGCTTCAGTTTCAACAATTCCAACTTAAAAGTTAGGTCTTAAGTCTTTTCAAGATAAATTTTGAGGCTATAACTTGTATAGGTATGTCTGATGTAAAATATTGTGGGATTAAATACACCAGAAGAATGCTGAACAGCTGATAAAGCAGAGTTTATAAATAAGTGTTTAAGCACACCCTTCATCAATATAAACACAAAAATTAACACAAGATTCCCATCAAAAAAATAAAATTGAATAACAAATGGTGTAATTCTGGTCCTGATGCCCTCTCGGTATTCTGTGTGTGGTTAAATCTGCATAGAATGGGTGTGCTTGAAGGTGATTTACTATGTGACAGAATGTAGACATATGGTTTGTCCTCATATTTATCCTCAAAATGTACTTTATGAGGTATTTTATGTGGATCTTTTATTTTAGGGAAAGACTGAAAATGATTTCAACAAAGATTTTGGTAAAAGACCTCACGTGTATTCTTTTGATTCTCTATGCAGCCTGAGATAAAGGCTGAAATCACATTTTGCTGATCTTATGTGGGACAATGACTTTTTGATATGACGTGATTTTTTACAGTTCAAGCAAGAAAAATATTTGTAACATAGACAATTATCTGATTGGCCATTAAATTAATAATTGAGGTCTACAGTACATTTTCTCCTTATCCCTTTAGAGATTTAGGTCATAATTTTAACAAACGGCAGATGAATTACAGCATGATATTTCCCTGTGGGAATAATACTTGCACCACAAGATATTTAACACTGTGACATTGTGCCATTATCTATATTCCATATATCACCACTGGGTCTGGTGCCACAAAAGCACTATGGCCTGCATATTGGTCTTAACTTTAAGACTAAAATATTGGTCTACACTGTCCATAAAAAATCACTAATAGCTCAAATTATTGGTAGTGTGCCTTTTTAAAACAGAAGAAAAATGTAGCTTGTTTTACACCAATTCTTAATTTAAGAGAACAGCTGTTGAATTATCTGGAACTGAAATAAGCCAAATTTTGGGGGGTTAAAAGTTTAGACTAAATTTTGGTCTAAAGTTCCTCTGTGTGACTGCGCCCCTGGAGTGTGACTGACCCCTGTGTGTCCCAGGTCCAGGGAGACAGATGATACCATCTGGTTGACATCCATCTACTGGGTACACAGTCACCTCTTTATGCTTATCATCTCAGACTTCATATATTATGCAGAGATGATGGACACGTGGCGTAATTTCCCTGGTGGTCCGTCCCCTTTGATCTTAAAATTGATTTTTTTTTTTGTCAAGAAAAAGGTGGTTAAAACTTTGTGCTGTTTTTGAAATCATTAGAAACTGATGATGCTTTGTTTGTATTTATCGTCCCATTTTACTCCGAGAAAGTCGATGCATTTGTGCCCTACAAATATTGAAGAAAGTTTGAAAAAGTGTTATTTTAATTACCTAAGGATATATCATAGATTTGATGATCCCAAGCTTACATGCTTGCATTTGGAAATAACCTAGCCTATTTTAGCTCCCGTTTACCAACTCCAGTTGTACTGATTATATGTTTTAGTTTAAATATCCTGTTGCACAAAGATCAGATCCTAATCCTACATATTTGTTCTCTTCTGAAATCAGTTTCATCCCCCCTCCCCTCTCACATCCAGGTCCATGAACATCTGCCCAGTGTCCTCTCCCTAAAATTCTGGAGCAACAGGTGCAGAAAGGTGTGTTTTAAGCTCATTAAAGTATTAAATTCCCCATACTTAAATCATAGCCTTGTTAGTCGTACAAAAACTGCTGCATGTGTCTCTTGAATTATGAATAAAAAGGGTCTCTTAGCATTAGCCTATTTTCTAAAGTGAAAAACTAAACACCTTCCGTAATATTGCACCTCACTTAAGCAGGCATGCGAGACATCTAAGCCACTTAAGCTGAAAGCAATTTAGCGAGAAACCCCATGGAGATGGACCAATCCTGTTAGAACGACCTGGAGGAACCTATGTCACCTGCACCGAAAACAGAAAAGGCTCGCAGTCGACAGGATTCGAACCTGTGCGGGGAGATCTTGGTCTATTCCCCAACAGACTTAGTCTATCGCCTTAACCACTCGGCCACGACCGCCGTGTGTAACGTAAGATAAATAGTTATCTTGGCATGAGCCTATTTACTAAGGTGAAAGACTTAACACCTTCCATAATATTGCACCTCCCTTGGTTTTTTGTCTTCAGAAAACATGCCTTATTGATTTTTGCTTCCATCCTCTCTACCTCTCCCTGCATTTCAGGACCAGATCCCTACAGATTACACATACCTACATAAATGTTATCTCCCCTCTTTTCAGTCTTTCCCCTTGATGTTATCATCCCTGGATGAGGGAACAACCTCTTAACATTTAGGACACTGAGAGAGACTGGCTTTTAATTCCCTCTTATAAAATGCTTCTCCATCCCCTCAGCCTCTCCCTGAATATTTGGCCCTCCAGGTGAGAGACTGGCTTTAGATTCCTTCAGATAACATCTCCCTCCATCCCCTAAGCCTCTCCCTAAATATTTGGCCCTCCAGATGAGAGACTGGCTTTAAATTCCCTCAGATAACATCTCCCTCCATCCCCTCAGACTCTCCCTAAATATTTGGCCCTCCAGGTGAGAGACTGGCTTTAGATTCCCCTCAGATAACATACCCCCTGTTCCGCACACACACACACACACAGTACATAAGCCACTTATACAGGACCACTCCAGACACCTCCACAAACTCCTGTTATATTCTCCGGGTTATTGATACAGGGACTAAGCAGGGAAAACATTGTTCAATCTCAGCAGGTGGTTGCAGGGTGTCCGTAAATAGGGACCCGTGGTGAGTTTGTGACTTTAAAAACATTGAGTAAAAAGTTGTGGAAGCGTTTAAGCGGGACGTGGTTTTGGCGTGGCGTGAGGCAGTAGTCTGTGAACCATATCTTGCTGTAACTTGGGAGATATAGGAATATATATACATATAGGCCAGAAGAGCTGAGAGGATTCAGGGTTCAATTATCCAAGGGAAGAGAGCGAGGAGAGTGAAGAACTTAAAACAGTTGATGTTTGCTGAAATTATGGCAGCTGTTAATGGCAGGTATGTCAGTCTTCTGGTGTGTGTGTGTGTGTGTGTGATTTCAAGCAGGTCCCTTGTGATCTCAAACCCTATAGTGGGAGTTTGATATTTTTGTGATGTCATAAACACCTGAACCAGTGCTAGTCGGTCTTTTGTATAATCTAGGAACAGCTTTTTATACCCAGCATGATGGCTTGACTATAACCAGCTATACCTGGCCAGACTCAGTTTAGTGTGGGGTCACTGGTGTCCAGTTTTCATGATGACCAACAGGTGGTTTGATCATGGCATTTGTATATTTCTTCATCTGTAAATTCTGATTTTCTTTTCAGAATTGCCACCATTATTGTTACAAAAATAGACAGTTTTATCACTTTTCAAGTGGTTAAGAATAAAAGCTGAACAAAATTTATATAAGCATTTGTCACATATTTGTGGGATGCACATGAAAAAAAAATGAATGGGCACCGTGTCTTGGGCACAGTGAACATCTTGGTTACTTATGAATCATCTGAAGCAATTTCACTAAGACAACTGTGACATTTGTCAGGAAATATGTGTGGGTTTAGTGATTTGTTGAGTGTCATTTCCTATGAAGACATACAGTGGTGAGATTTGACCCATGCCATGAGATAAATGGCTGGGATATAAGATATGAATATTCTGTGTTGACATTTGCTGACACTAAGTACTATCTTGTCAGTTTCTGTGACACCATGTCATAGTAGAGGACTTTTATGTAGTGACTGTTATGTAAAAGTACATATAACCCATTGGACAGCTTGCCACATCAACCAAAATGTGAATGTGTCCAGTCTACCCCCATCCCACCCCCTCACCCCACCCCCATCCCAACCCTACCCCCACACCCAATCAGGTATTGTGTTAGGTTGGAGGGAATGTCATAAAGTCTGATGTCATTTTTTAAACGGCATATGTGCGTATGGCGTATGTGTATGTGACCACGTGTGTGTAAGTAAAAGCGTTTGAATCACATCAAATTCAACTGGTCAAAAGAGTTTAAACACACACACACACACACACACACACACACACACACACACCAGTCCTTCTTCCCCCCCCCCCCCCCCTCCATTATTGCATACATTGCCACTCCTGTCAACTTGACCGCTGCCCTCCAAGCCATCCACTCCTTCATGGTTGTGTACCCAAAATAAATTATGAAGCATACTTAATAGCAAAGGTGGTGCTATTTATAAATTAAGTTGGTTTACTGTTCATGTGTGAGTGGCTTAAATGAAAATGTTTGGTAGTTTCTTTTTTTGGGTAAAGCTCATATTTGTGTAGGCACAACAGAACCTAATATTAGTAATTTTTTATTTTATATTCTTAAGCACTTTACCTTACATCTTTGTTTTTAACATCGTTTCAACATGAAGTCAACCAACTTTTCCAAAATTCAAAAACAACAGTTCTCAGTATAACTAACAAAACATTGTTTTGTGCAAATATTACTTCTATAAATAGTACATGAGTGACTCAGCATCTTTTCATAAATTCATTTTGTCTTTAGCAACGAGTAATTACTGTAAGCCTTGGTTTATCACATAGTTTAAAGTATGCATATCTTAAATACATCTCAAGATTACTATCTT